AAATGAATAGTTATTTAGCATGAAAAGTTGAAATATAAAAGGCTGTGAAATAGCCTTTCTTTCATTTAATGAACTAAATGAAAGATGTAATACAATATTGTTTTAATAATTGAAAAATTATTATAAAAATATTTTTAAAAATGTGCCCTTAACAGCAATTAGGAATCACACAGCACAACTTTATTATATACTATATATTTCTTCTACAAATTTAACATTGCAGCAAAGTTCTCAATCCCCAATATTTTAAATTTTTTTAAAGAAAAATAGCTCAAAATTGAAAAAATATCCATAATGTTCCTGACATTTCAAAGCAGCAAAATGGAATAAGCCTCATAGCAAAATTCCTTAAATTACATTTTTATTAGTTCTATATAAAAAAAAAACTTTTAATGTTAAATAGCAATAAAACTCAAAACTGTTAATAAAAAAAAAATAAACAAAATAATAATACAATCGTCTTAGCAGAAATATTCAAATAAGGAAAAAGTCATCTTTGTGCTAAACATAGGTAATGTTAAACAGAAAAAGAACACAAATAAAGAATTTCTCTCATTCCGTAAATTTGTATTCCTTCTGTATCAGTTTCCTTTTATTGTTTTTCAAAATTGAAAAATACTCTCCATTATAGAATCGAAATATATCTGTTTAAAAGACATTGTTTGCATTTCCTTCACTTTGTTAAGTTTTTATTTGCTAAAATAGTTTATATTTTTTAATAAATTACCAAACTTTGGACTATTTTACACAAAACTTTCTTATTTCTCCAGTACTTTCACCCATCAAATAATTCACGCACCTGATATTCACCAAAAATGTGACCAAATATTTAATTTTCAAATCAAACCAAGAAACATGTTTAAAAAAAAACTATTAAAATGTGACTTTAAGATGATGTAGAAAAATTCGAATCGTTTTTAATAATGAAACGAAGTGTTTATATTAGAAAATAATTAATATTGCTTTAAACAGAATTTCAAATTAATTGATTGTAAAAATGTGCCCAAAACGAAAAAAAAAATTTATATGCAAGCATTATTAAAACCCTATTGAGCTAAAAACTATCAACATATTTAAAAAATAAAAAGTAACAATTACCCTCTTTGGGACTAAGCTTTTCTCCCCACAACAAAAGTATGTGACGCAACTCGCGAGCAGGAATTCGCCCAGATTTGCTTTTATCACTTGCTCGGAAAGCTCTCAGGATTTCTTGTGGGATATTTTCCCTCTGGCTGTGATTATGCATTATTTCAAGCATATCAGCAAATGATATCTTTCCATCTGTAATTAAGTGCATAGTTATCAATGCTACAAATATTACAGAATGGAAGTACTATACCTCAAACAAATTTTTATACTAATAAGGTTAACTTAATAAAAAGTGAAACTTTTAAGGATCTTAAGCTAAGAGAAAATGAATGCAGTCAAATTTACTTTTAAAGTTAAATCTAGGGTAATTTTATCTAATGCATGTTTTTAACTGATTCTATTATGGCTGTAGTATAAAAGTTCTGCATAAGGTTTGTAAACAGCAACAATTGAGGAAAGAGCAGTTTTCCAAAAGTGTGAATGCATTGCATTGATATGCACACACTTATAAACTGAAATATTAAGCAATAAATATTTGCGCAATCATTAGTTTTATAATTGAATTTCCTTTCTCAGTATTCTATCAACAAGGTATAACTAAAGTATTGCTATTAGATATTAGAAAAGTGACTTTTTAATAGTATATTAAAGCAAATTAATATAGCTTTTGTTTTACACTTAAGTTGCAAAGCCATGTTTTTTACTTTATTATGCTATTTCCTGAGAATTATTAATTTTAGCAATGTATAACACATTTTTATGATTACATAGTAATTAAAATAGGTATTATACAACTAACAATCCTTATAATTTTACAATTTAAAACCATTGAAGAAGGGACAATGCAATAGTCTGTTAAGACAAATTTGGATAACTATTTTTTGTCACTAGATCCAGACTATATGGGATTTTTTTTAACCGTTTGATAATTGTAAATTTAAACAATTTATTACAACACATTCTTCTGATTATAGTAATTATCATGTGCATTGTAGAGTTAGCAATTCTTACTTTTCACAACGAAGAAATTGAGAAAAATTTATACAGGTTATCATAAATATTACTTTCTTTCTTTACCTTAATACATATTGGTCTGACTATCAAAAATGTTTTTAAGTATTAATTTTTAGAGAAAATTGCACAATTATGAATTGTAAAGATAATTAAGTTTTAGCATAGCATTCACTTTTAAAAAATGAACTACAAATGTATCCCCTTTTCTATAGTACACGATAAGATTTTTTTACACTATTTATCTTCTTTTCCAGACTATAATCAGACAGACTCAGTTTGTAATGATTTCAGGCGAGCTTGGGAATAGAAAATTTTCAGTTCCGGTGTTTTTGCACTAGATTTTTGAACCAGGCATACTCTGTTTGAATAAATTTTGGTTTAGTTTATGGATCAAAAGATCTCTCACCGTGGCACTTTTGCACAAAATTATTAAGCAAGACAGACTCAGGCTGGACATACCCTGTTTGTAATGTTGCATTTGTATCTTTATAAAGATAGTTTAGTTATATTTATTAAATATTTAGTTAAAAATAATTCAATTTTAATTATTTAAGATGGTTATAAGGATTGAATATTCTAATAAAAGCAATAAATGTAATTGAACACAAATTTGCTTTTGCATTTTAAACAAATTTTTTCTTAAGTACTACCTTTAAATTAAATTTTTTAAATGTTTAAACATATTTTTAAAATATCTATTTAGCAACTAAGTTAATAATCATCTTAAAAGAGGTCCCTACAATCAATCCAACAACTAAAATCTTTAGATCTTTCAAATTTTTTACTCTTATTTATTCAAAAGTATAAATTGCATAATGCAGAAAATTAATGACTTTTATTAGCATGTTAGATCATATCAACCATTAATGAATTGAATTTATTAACAAAATAAAACCTTATACTACTGCATTCATTGACTTTAATTTACTATTACACAAAGCAGTTGTCCCGAAATAAGGTAAATAATTGCTATGTGAAAATAAAAATCCTAACTCACTTTTTTCTTTGAAATATTTTTTCAATTCTGTTATGGTAGGGCTCATTCCCAAAGAGCGCATGATGATAGTTAACTCATCCAAACTTCTTATTTGGCCACTTCTGGCATTCAAGTAAAAGCAATCACGAAATTCTGAAAAGATTTGAAGACACAGTTAACTTTGCTAGTTAAACTGCACCATCTTCCACTTCTTTCCAGATCTATCATCTCACAATATAGGTTTTTTTTTTTTAAACAACCATAATAGCAAATGAATTGAAAACCATTTCTTGAACCATCTTCTTTCACACAATACTATTACGAATACCCATCACCAATAGAAAAATAATTTTTACTGTATAGAATATTATGGAGAAAAAAAAAGTATTAAACACAATTTCAGAGTATATTTTTATATTAAAAGTTTCACACTAGATGATACCAAAGACAATGGAATTTAATGAAAATTAAATTAGTATAAACAAATACATTTAATTACATTTTTTATAATAGAAAACACAAGCAAGAAATAAAAATTCAAGCAATTTTTGCCAAAATAAGTAATGATGTGTTATGTTTGCTTAAAATAAGGTTTTGGTACTAAATGCGAAAGTTGCTTAATATGTGAAAAATATTTTAATGAAGTTGCTTAATATGTGAAAAATATTTTAAACACTTATACCTACTAAATACAAAGTTAGCTAGAAAATTATGTTTGAATCATGCTCATTATATTTGACATGATTATAAAAGGTTTTCCCATAAAGTTATGAGGGGATATCCATGTAAACATCACTTCGACTTATTTCTAACAATCAATATTTAAATACATATTTCAAACAATGAATATTAAAACCTAAGCCTTATCAGGTAAGGTATCTCAAATGTTAGTGCCTGATAATGTAATATCGTTATTTTCAATTTAGCTAAATATCACTTCTCTTATACATTAATAATGATAACATTTAATAAATGGTGAATTAAGAAAAATAATTTTGTTATATTAAGTACTTTAATATTAAACAGGATATATTTAAGTAAGACAGAGCTTAAATTAACAGCACATGTGTAAATAAGTTGCCGAACCTAAAACAAACAGTAAGTTTCAACAACGCCTAGAATTTATCTGCGCCAATTATTTGATTTTTACTTACATAGGTTTCTATCTGTCAACATGTAATTGGAGAACATAGACAATAACTAATTTTGGTATTTGAAAGAAATATGATACATAGGTTTCTAATCAGTTATTTTATTTAAAAAAATATAAGGGGTAGAACAGAAATAATTTTCTCCACCTCTGAGCGTCAAGCATACGAGACATGCTTGTCATCAAAGCATTAATAATAACAGTAATTAAAAGTTAAACGAATAAGCAATAAATCAGTTAATTTAGAAAGCACAACAACATATTTAGTATTTGAACAAATTCGTTACAAGTTAAACTAATTTATAATGAGTATTTATGAACTAGTTAGAAATATAGATAGACATTACTCAATGATTGATCAAAAGATTAAACAAATTACGAATCAGCATCAGTACCCGCGAAAAAGTTTGAAGAGAAACAAGCAAATATTAATACAAAAATAATAATGGTTAACAGATTTTTCTTCTTTTCAAGGAAGAAAACAACAATAAATGAATCTCGATAGTAATCATTTTACTTCTATTACTAAATAATTATTAATTCAATGTTACTAACAGTGTAGCAAAGATTGAGAACTACTCTTTAGAACTATACATGCATGCAAATTTGAGGAAGTGAGCATATAAATTTCATTTTAATGAGCTCAAAAGTTTTCTATGTACGATGCAATGCAATTAGTTCAAATAATTTCTGATTTATTTTTGATATAACAGATATATTTAATACATGAACATGATCCTAAAACAAAAAAAAATTATGCAAATCTCATACCATCGATATCTTGTTCTCTAAAAAATCTCGCCTGTTAAAATGAAAGAAAAGAAAATTAGTTTCAATAAATTAAACCAAAACATTTTTAGTTTGTAAGTTTCGTGTTATATAAACAAATCATTAAAGTAAAGTATCAATAAACATATGAAAATATTGCTGTCAATGTGTAAATTAAAAATTAAGTAACACATAAAAAATTGATCAAAAAATTGAATCGGTTACAAGCTTAATAATTATGAACTATAATAATAAAAACTTAATATTATTAAAACATACCATTTTTGGTATTGAAATTTAAAGAAAAAAAAATAAGAGCACCCGCAATAACGAAACGTAAATTGCTGAAAGGAATCTTGACTGTTATAACGTCACAGTTACAGCGATTTTAAATTTTTAGCACACGGAATGTTAAAAAAAAAATATTTTACAAATATGAGACTTTCAATTTAATTACCGGATTCTTATTTTCTAATTATAATTCATGAATTTTTTTTACCGGTTGATGCCTTTATTTATTCAAAGGCTGTTGCTTGGCTGACCGCCTTTTTAATAAATAGAGGCATTTGATTGGTCGATTATTTAATCGTTTTCATCGTTATTGCTTAATCGTTTTGTCATGTTTACTAGAA